AAAAAAAAAAAAAAAAAAAAAAAAAAAAAAAAAAAAAAAAAAAAAAAAGAAGTAAAAATAAACAGTTCGAGGGATAATGCTAAATTATAAATCAAACAGCAATGTTTTTATTTTTATGTTTATGTTTTAATGTTTTGTTAGCTTAAGGAGGGAGGAAAACCGGAGGACACGAGGAAACACATGCGATGCAGAGTCTATGTATCGAACCCATGTCAGTCGAACTAGTTCTTAAAAACTTACGTTTGGTTCTGTGGAAGGAGCGGCCACCAAACTAAATCCAAACCCTCGAGGTCCTTTCTCTAACTTCACGTTAAAGACATCATCCTAAAGACAAAAGGAATAATAAATGAAAATTAAAAATGGAATAATGGTAAAAAGTATTCAAAACATATTCTTCGTTTTCACGTTACGTCATCGCGGCCATGTTGGTATCATTTAACAAAAGATTTCTCATTAGCATCCATTGTTAACGGTACCACAATGGCCGCCATGTTTTTGTCTTATAACTCTCTTGGGAATGCTTGCAACCCATCAATAATTACAAAGGCGAATAGAATAGTCAATATATTTTACCTTTGGTTCTTCAACATCTTCCACGTCTTGTTCTTCATCTGTGCTTTCTGCACCAGAATCAACATTTTCTTCCGGCAGATCCTCTGAGAATGAATAGCCCTGTTCCAGTGATCCACCCATAGTGTACTTGGATACTGCAGCCCTATTGGTCCTCTTGACCAACAGCTGTACCACAGGACGAGCTGCGTCCAGGTACTGCCTGGCTGCAAGGAAGCCAATACCTTCCACTTTACGACCGCCAATCTGAAAAAAAAATGGTGGGACATAACAATATGAGCTTATTCTCTAACGACTAAGTGGCAGGCACAGGGATCTATTGAGCTTTGTTTTTCCCCTCAGCGTGGGACAATTACAACAGAGCTAGGCTTCAACTAAGTGAAAGGCCAAAATCGAATTGGAATTTAGAAAATGATTTTTGAGGAGGGTTGAAAAACAGAGAACACGAAGAAAAATCCTCGAAAAACGAGAGAGCCAACAAACAAGGTTTACATAGAGACTACGTTGAGACCGGCGGGACTCAAACCCGGGTCGCATTTGTGAAAGGCGAGGCATTAGCAGCGCACGCCACCCGTGCTTTCCATTTACTTATCAAACTCATGCATAATTCATGAGGAAAACATAACAGAAATCATGACCGTGAAGAGTGTTGTAAATCTGATACAAAACTGTGTTCATTTGCATAAACTTTAAGTTGCATTTTCTTGGCCAAACTCACTTTAATTTTGAAAATTTTAGTGAAACTCAAAGGAACTAACCTAGACGTTTGATAAGTCATATATACAGTATTCGTATCCGTGTTGTATCAGATATACAATCACTCGGCTGCGCCTCGTGGTTGTATATCTGATTCAACACGGCCACTCATACTGTATATATTACATATGGCCTGCGAACGCGGGCTATCTACATAGGGATAAAGAGAAGAGAGAGAGAGGGCAGGAAGAAACAGGGGGGGAGGTTGTCTTTTCCTTCTCGCAAACCAAGTTCATCAAAAGTTATTTTCCCTACCTCGACAATAACATCTCCATGTTTAAGGTTGCCTTCAACGGCAGCTGGCTCGCCTGGTACAACATCATCTACTAGTATGACACCCTGGTCATCTTCTTTTAGTAACAATCCAATGCGACCTCTACTCGTACGTGTTAGGTTTACCGTCTCCAAGTGACCGGATGTACCGTCTTTAACGACCTGAAATATGAAACAAAACAAGCTATTTAATATAACGGTTGTCGTGTGAGTAAATGGTAAGTTACCGTGGCTTTAACTGTGTGTTGCGATTGGATAAAACACTGGAAGACTATGGGAAGCCATTTTAATGTTACGGTATGTCGTACCGTGTAAATGCTGCAAGTTAGCGCCTTAATTTTCATACTCCATATGATAACCATTCCTATGGAAAGGAATTTCAATGTTATGGCATGGCGTACCGTGTACGTGCTGTAAGTCAGTACCGTATGTTTCCCACTTATACGATAACCATTCTTATGGGAAGCCATTTTAATGTTACGGTACGTCGTACCGTGTACGTGTCATAAGTCAGTGCCGTGTGTTTTCCACTTATACGATAAGCATTCTTATGGGAAGCCATTTTAATGTTACGGTATGTCGTACCGTGTACGTGTTGTAAGTCAGTACCGTACACTTCTCACCTTATACGAAAACTTCTCTAACTAAAGTCAGTTAAGCTATGTAAAGTACTGTATTGGTCTTAATATTTATTGACTACGTCATAGTTTAATCTTTTACAGTACGAGCCAACCGGAAGTGTTGTTATATCGAGGAGCATTACTTACCATGGTAGGTCTTCGTACGACAACCAATTTGACGAATTTTTTAGTTGCTCTTAACACGTTTACTGCTTCCATGTGTTTCATGCTTCTGATATCAGTATCATCCACCTAAAACAGCAATGAAACCATAGTATGTTTTAGCTTTAATTCACCATTTTCCATGCATTGCTTCACTGGTCAAACACAAAGCGTTCAAGCGAGGCGCCAAGGTACTTTCAAAGGATTATTCAAATTTGAACCTTGCAACCTCGACTGAATGCTTTGTGTTTAAGCAGTGAACCGATGTATGGAAAATGGTTAATAGACTGCAGAAAAAATTCCAATCCTTTCGGGGCTAATAGATCTCTTTAGCTTGGATGCAATATTTACCCATTTCAGACGTGTCATTTTTGAGAATAAGATTTTTAGTTTGATTGGTATCCATATTCATGTGTCTTCTCGTGCGCAACCATTAAACGAAGAAATGATACTCCAGGGAATGACACGCGGTCTTGAGAATGAAGATTCTTTGCTTAAGTTGTATCCATATTCATGTCTTCTTGTGCGCAACCGTTAAACGAAGAAATGATACTCTAGGGAATGACAAGTGGTCTGAAATGGGGAAACATTATGCCCAAGGTAAAACGTTCTATTCAGATCAATGTAAAAAGTGGGGCGATGATCGTCAAAAAATATATAAATAAATAACCCCGTAAATGAGAGAGTTTTGGCTAGGTCCTGTTTTAATTCTAGCCCTAAAAGATACCACTTTGAAAAATTAGATATTATTATCATCATCATCATAATCATCATCATTACTATAAAAGAAACGACACGTGCTACAAATTAACAGCTTTTCTCTTTTCACACCTAAAAGATAATAAGATCTTCCCAGAAATTCCGCGTTACACAAGAGTAGGTTTTGTACAATACACACCTGTAAGATTTGATCGCCTTTTTGTAGTCTCCCATCTGCTTTAGCAGGATCTCCTATTACATCTCTTACGAAACATCCACCCATAGTATCAGCACCACCTGCCAGTGTAAATCCAAGGCCACCGGACCCCTTCTCTAACTCGACTGTGATTAACTAGATACAAATAACACAAAATAGAGAGTTCAAGATTCTCGTTTACGGCAAACATGAAACGTCAGTTGACCACTAAAATATTCTTTAAAATAAGTGAAAAGGAATCGCAAAAACCTCCAAGTAGTAGATAAACAAAAGAATACTTGTCTTTGTCGATAAGGTTTGCAAAAGGTGAAGTGAAATGTAGGGAAACGATGAAAACGTGGTCACGTTTAACGTTTGGGGGAATGAGAAACGGGAATCTTATACCCCATTCACACCTAAACGTGTTTAGTTAAACTATGTTTTCATTAGGAAAAAAATTGAGAAACTAGAAACCCACAATATAATAAAACTTTCTAAAATATTGTCAGAGCAAGACAAAGGATAGTTTACATGCATTATTTCACCAAATATTGTGCAGTGTTCGTAGATAGTTTTCCAAACCATGGGGTATTAATCTGCCTGATGTAAATTGCGCTGCTCGAAGTCTTAAGATAAAAACGGGCAAATAAAACAAGAGGAAAAAATATAATTTAACCGTCTTAAATACCTGTTCTTTAGGAGTCAAACTGGCCTCTTCTTGAGCTGATATCTTCGTCAGGTCTGGGGTACTCTCTACTATAGTCTCTTCTAGACTCTCTAACTTCTCACTTAAAGATTCCTCACTCCAGGTTGGTCCTGGCTGATTATTTACCATATAGAGTGGTCTATCATTCCTTTCTTCCATCTGTGGTTCAGTGGAATTCTTTTGGATAGGCTCTAAATAGTTATCACTCTCGTTCAAATCTTCGTTTATATTTAAATTTACTTCTGAATCATCGTCATCCGAGGACGAATGTTCTTGGTTGTCTTGATTTAATTCTTCTGGTTTGTGTTGCGTTCGTGAGCCGGAAAGAAGTTCTAGTACCGCGTCGATATCTTCAGCATTGTCATCATCGATATCAGATGTATCGCTAGTTTCCTTAGGAGGAGTAACGGTGGTTGCGAGGACTTTGTTCATACTGTCATCATCACTGTCATCTTCATTATCTGCGGTATCATCGTCTGATTCATCATCATTGACGTCCAGACTTATATCGTGTTCACTTCTAACCGGGTAGGACGTTCCAGGTGCCTTGGTGATAGCATTAACACCACCACTACCATCATCAACATCATCCTGACTATCAGTTGGATGCTCATCATCATCAATCTTAACAGCAACACCATCGTCAACATTAATCATGATGCCTTCATCAATATCCAGATCACTTTCTTCATACTCAGCTAAAGGAGCTTGGGGGGACATGATTCTGTTCAAACTGTCCTCACTCCGGATTTGTTGAAGTAACGAGGGAAGATCAGATTCGCTAGAAATCTTATCCGCAGCTCTTCTGTCCGGTCTACGTTGCTCAGACTCACCGACAGCACTATCGGAACTCTTCCTATCAATATATGGAGGTTTATCTGGTTCACTTTCATCTCTTTCCTCTTTTTTGCGCACTGATTCCTTGTCCTCCGAGGGTGTGTTATCAAAGTATCGAGATTTCAAAGATAATTTTCCCGGAAGAGAACGCGAAGTGGTAACGGGCTCGTGTTCTCTTTGTTTTGCCATAAGCGCCGACGGATCAGACAACTGATGCTGTAATGTTCTATCACTTTCATAAGTAACGCGTTCTTCACGTTTGTCTCTTAGATCCCTAATTTCTCCCGCTGCTTCGGCAAGTTTTTGCTCGATATTGTTGGGTTGGGGCTCCTGTGGCGGAGAGCTGACGGGGGATGTGGTCTGACTGCGCAGCTTGTTTTGTATATCGTTTAAGAGCTGAACAGGGTCAACGTCACTGGCGTTAGACGCTGCTCTACTGAGAAGTACTTCAGGGATCGAATAAGGGTCTCGCTTCACCAGCAGACGAACAACAGACGGCTCGTGTCGGATCATGTTGATGGCGTCTTGGTGACTGGCGTTCTGAAGGGACTTTTCATTAACTTCGAGCACTATGTCTCCAAGTGCTAGTTTTTTACTGAGTGCGGCGGGCTGGCCAGGGAACATTTTCTTGATACGTAATAACCCTTAAGAATGAAAGGAAGGATTAATATTTTGATGAAAAACTTGTGCTGTAAAGACCCCTTGCAGTACATCGGAATACAGCTCAATTTGGAGGACATTACAATAGGTTTCCAATTTTTATGAGATTGAAATTCTTTTTTGTGAGTGTGTGTCCTCCAAATAGGCCATTTCACGGATCCCGTTACTCAACCTCAGCCTCGTCAGCGTGTAATTATTCTTTAGAATTTGACTACAGTCCGCAGTAATGAAAGGAATTTACACATCAACGAACAATTGAAACACTTAAAAATCTCACATGTTGTAGGCAATTTCTAAAGAATATATTACACGCTGACGAGGCTGAGGTTGAGCCGCGGGATCTGTGAAATGGTCTATTGAGCAGCTTTGACGTCACATGCAAGGGGTCCAAAGGTGTGAACCCTTTTTCGTCAAAATAACTTTATAAATCTCACTTTCTGATTGGTTGGGGAGCGTACTCCGCCACACGCTTCCTCATCGCTAAATGACGTTGTACTCAATTCACGTACCCAGACCCTACCCATTTCAAAGAAACCAACGATTTCGCAAATGGATAGGGTCTGGGTACGAGAGAATGATTGTAATCCAAAGGCCCCAAAAATATGGACTGATAATTGAGACTTCAAAGTATGATAGCATCACAATTACCTCCGTGTTCGGGACCAGCGTCACGCCCTCCAACCAAACTCAAACCCAGTCCTCCAATTCCTTTCACCAGCTCGACTACAAAAGGCTTATCTTTAGCCTGGGTCCTAGAAGAGTTTTTCTTTATGGATGCTGGTACATTGACGTGTACGGATCGGTCCAGAACGATTTTGCATCGCTGCGGTGCTCGTCTAATGATTTCTACTGCTTGTTTGTGTGTAACACCCACAAGACTAATACCATCAACTGCTAGTATACGATCACCGATTCTTATTTGACCATCTCTATCCGCAGGGCCATTCAGCATTAATGACTTGACGTAAATACCTCCTAGTTTGACTGTTGTGTTTATTCCTCCCTACACAAGAATAAAAAGTACAGAAATTATTAGAGCAGGTTATGGATGACTGTGTAACGGCTAGGCGCACGGCACTTGAACTAATCAGCGCGCGAGATCATTGGTAAGCTAATCAAAATGCTTGGACACGACACCAACATGAATACGGCATGCCACTTCATATTTCTAGGACAACTTTCTTGAAATGATTTTTATGTAGACTAATACGCTCTCAATAATTCGTGTATTTAGTAAAGTAGGTTTCACATGAGCGAGAAACATCAGACCTTGTGAAAACAAAGTCTTAGACCTTTGAATTCAAGAAGGGTCAATGGTGCGCGTTTTTCGTGCCCTTCGCCTTCGCACTGCTTGACCTCATCCATGGCTACAACCCCGTAGACAGATGAAGTTGGTGTTATTAATCGTCTTAAGCGCGAGCGATCCGTAATTGTTGACGTAATCTGTTGGTATGACCTCTTATTTACCACGGCTCTCGATCAATCAGAAAGCGAGAAAATTAACATTTGCGGTAAAAAGTAAAAAACGTAACTTACCGTTACGCTAAGACCCAAACTCTTGTCAATTTTTTCCAGTTCCACAGTGAAACTCTTGTCCTGGTAAATACAACACCAAAATCTAATTAAAATCGCTGCCTCTCTCAAAATATGTCTACAGTACGCATTCTTACCGGTAGATCATCACTATCTACGCTATTGCCATGCTCAATCGATCTCTCCGACCCAACTGAACCCGCAGTAAACGATGACTGAGAATCGTTACTGATGTCTGACTGCAAAACTTCTCTTGAGCTTAGCTTGCCATAAGGAGTTGAAGGCGATTTAGAGTCGCGACGGACACCCATTGAAGGAGACCCTGTCACATTTGGCGACTCCAGCGTTGCCATGGTTACAGGTTCAGGAATTTCGTCACTGTCGGTTTTTCCCGCCTTTTCTGGAGGACTCACGGTGAGGTAATTTGAAGACGAGTTCCTATCCTTAGAGGGTACTGAATGAGAACTGCTTTGGGGTGTCGCTAATGAAGATATCGACTTGGAAATCATGGTGACAGGCTCGTCTTCGGAGGGAAAGTTGAAGGTGGATGGATGGGAATCTGTTGGTGAGAGGGTATCTGATGAACATGGCGACTCGACGCGTGTTCTTGACAGGTGGCGATTTTCTTGTTGAGGAGGCGTTATCAATGGCTTGACTTCGAGAGTTTGTGGTTCCTCATTGGACGAGCCAGCAGTAGGAATGTTGGACAAATCTAAGCAAGAACGAGTACAGGAAATAAATATTAAAAATGCATTCGTTTTGGGATATATTTTGAGGTGAAAAGTGGAATTTGATTATTCATATTTTTACTCGTTATCCATTTTAGAACATTCAAACGTTTACTTTCTAGCCATTATCATTTCAGACCTGTTCTTGGGTGACAAAATGGCGCTGCTCTAACTCCTGGGTCTAAATTGGAATTGATTCCTGGACTCAGCATCACATGTGAGTAGAGTTTGTTAGGTCTCTCCGTTGATTCAAGGGTTTTTCTCCTGGGTCTAAATTGGGTTTGATTCCTGGACTCAGCATCACATGTGAGTAGAGTTTGTTAGGTCTCTCCCTTGATTCAAGGGTTTTTCTCCTGGGTTTAAATTGGGTTTGATTCCTGGACTCAGCATCACATGTGAGTAGAGTTTGTTAGGTCTCTCCGTTGATTCAAGGGTTTTTCTCCAGGTTCCCTGTTTTTCTCCCACTACAAAACCTAACATGCTGAATTTTAATTCGATCTGTGGAGTTAGCCGTGCTGTGACTTTGATCAGGTCTGACAAAAGCGTCACTACTAATGCAGACTAGTCCTGTATGAATAAGGCTAATGATAAAAAGAGCATATTTCTGAATAACAAACAACCTATAGAACCAAACTAATCATCCTGCCTAGAAAATTGCTTTTTTTTAGTTAATCAACGCGGAGCGACGACAGACGACTGAAAAAACGGCAATATGAGACATTTTTATAAAGAGCCGTAATTAATCAACTTCGTTTTATTGAACCTTGGTTCAGTGCTTTGTAATACATGGTTGTCATGGAAATGGATACAAGGGTTAAGATGAGGGGAAATAGCGTGCTATAGTGATGAATAGATTATATGTATTAAAGATGAGACAGGTTTTGCATTCCAGATGTTTTCAGGTCTAGATCATTTATTAAACATGGAGACAAAATGGTTTTTTTTATTTCTTTTATTTTTTGCTTACAAGAGATAGCCCTGAAACTCGACCAACCGACCTTTTTGGTAGAAGTCTTCTTGAAGATCTCGGTATGATGGCAAAAATTAGGAAAACAATTTGACTTTGGAAATTAACGAAAAATGTATGGAAAATGGCAAACTAGGGGGGTAGTGAACGTCAAAGTATTACAAGATACAGACGTGAAACTTTAAAGACTGACCATTTCGGTACAGGTCTCTTGAACTATCTTAAAATGATGGTAAAAATAAATAAATAAAATCGTACAGATAACGTCCAGCTGACTTGAAGTGCACGTATGATGAGAGATGTTCTTTATTCTGGGAGACGTGCGTTATGAAGTAAATAAACAGTCTCGAAAAACAACGGCCTATACGAAATAAATTTTCACCCAACTAGCCGCCAGGATATAAACCCGTATTGGCGGTTCAAAATCGCAATACGTTATAAGTATGAGAGGTATCGCAAAACTAGTCTTTGGCTAGACTCAAGTCTATTACTTTAACTTGAAGCGAACACCATTCTTGGAGATGTGCGATACAAAATAGAATAACAAATGAAATTGGAAAGAAATGAAAGGAAGTTAAAAGGAAGTGAGAACCGCTAATCTACGGCCAAGCAGAAGTATATATTGTTTTAACTGGAAGTGAACACGATTTTGGAAGTTGTGCATTACAAAATAAAAAACTCACCAATGAAAAATGAAATTAATAGAAATAAAATAATAATAGGGAGATTTATCGCAAACATACAGCCAAACTAAATTATATATTATTTTAAGTTTGACTTTGGTAATGCTCAGCTCAGAGATAAGTTATAAAAAATAAGATAAATTGGGAATAAAATAAACAGCGAGAATTTTCGGCACATTCAAGTATATATTTCTTTTGCTTCAAATAAACACCGTTCTTTGAGATGTGCATTCCAAATTTAAGAAACAACTGATATTCCTAAGTAGACTAAGTATAATTCTTACCTAAAGCAGAGACATTATGTGGGCTTTGAGACACGACAAGTTCGACGGTAGAAGAAATGGTTTTTAGCAACGTAACGGCCCGTTCGTGAGTCACCTGTTCTAGACTGTTGCCATTTACGGCGAGGATTCGATCACCTGGAGAAAGGTAAATGAAAAGAAAATGAGATGAAATGAAATGAGAGAAGGATTGAGGCAAAATGAGATGAAAGGAATGGGAAGTAGGAATGAGATAAAAGTAAAACAAATAAAAGAAAAATAGAAAAAAGGAAAAAAGAAAAAAGAAAAGATAAAAGAATGAAGGAAAGGAAAGAAGTAATGAGAAAAAATGAGATGCAGCGAATGAAAGTAGGAATGAGATAAATGTAGATCAACCTAGAGGTTAAATCGATAAAATTTGAAGTTCTAGTAGGGAAGAACTAAGGAACGCACCAGCTTTAAGCCTCCCGTCTCTTGCAGCCGCACCTCCTTCAGTGACAGACTTGACATAGATCCCACGATCCAGACGTTTGGAATTCTCTCCCCCAAGAACAGTTATGCCTGAAACCAGGAAGGCTTGTCATAAACTAACCAAGTTTCATAAAAGTTAATACTGACAAATAACCAGATTCCAGTCACCCAGAGTTCTATCCCCCAACAAATTATCATCAATAAGACGTACTTTTAAGAATTGAAAATTCAATTTACAACCAAAACGAGCCTACACAATAGTTAGTAATACAAGGATAATATCGCCTGATGACTGGAAGGCGACAAATATTCGCTATTTTGATGGTAATATTTCAAAATAGGTAATTAGTGCGTCGACCCCTGAGCTATAACCAGCTGCAAGTATTACTGGTTTTCTAGTGACGTAATATCATAGTTCATGTGATGTCATATCCGCCAGGTTGGTTGAAATTAACGAAAACTTGTTCGCTAAAAGTTTTCTAACCAACCAAGCCACATCTCTAACCGTTCAAGTCCTTACGTTTGGGCGTTTTGCTCAGATTCTTAAGACAGTATCATTTTTTTTTCCCAGCCCAATAACAATAAAGTGAGAAAAACCCACGCTTTTTCCAGTCTATTTCCCCTTTTATTCTGATTTAATTTGTTAGAAGAACAAGAAAATAAAATGTGGTGGCCCAATGACGAAGCTGTGGGGAACTCCTACCATTTGGTTAGGGTAGCCAAAACTAAGATGCCATGGCCCAATAATGAAGCTTTGGGGAACTCGTTTATTAATTTATATTACCATCCAGTAAGATATAAACTAAAATTAGAAATTTAATGGCCCGATAACTAAGCTCTGAGGAACTCCGTTTATACCATAGTGCTCTCCCTTCTTTTGAACCTTCTATTACTTACCGAGACCCTTTCCAGGTTCTTTCGTGAACTTGATCACTCTTATTTCCCTGTCTGGTGAACTCAGGATATCCCTGGAATTTGGGATTTCTCCATCTGTAAAACAAGACAATAACTTTACAACTAGACCACTCGTCCTTGTGTTGTGCGAAGCTGCAGATCTACAGCTAAGGCACAGCACTATAGATTTTAGAATGTGCGTTTTGGAACATGAATTACAGAACGATTTTTATGATTGTGTGACAAACGAAATTCCTGCAGACGCGGCATGTCTTCTTTCTTTTTCTTTTGGTTTTACCGTCTGTTCATTTACGCCGTTTGATAAGATTCAACAAACAGATATTTGCGCTGCTCTTTCGTTTTCAATACTAATACGAAAACTCGATGGTTCTTTATCGTGTTTTTTCTAGAAATTTAAGAAATCAGTAAAAATTCAGAAATTTAATAGAAATCAGTAAAAATTTGGAGCTATATTTTTTTATTAACTTTACAACCATTGAGCATAAGCACGAATGATACGTGCACAAATACAGCTCTAATAATTGTCCCTGTCTACAGGTGTGCTACCTCACGTATTTCTTATCTACATAGACCGGCAGTGTCTGTATATTTACTATCAATAAAATATGACTAGCGAGATATCTCGTACAAACGCTCAGAGAAATCTAGAATTTGATGCATTTTAAAGTAGGGTGAATTTATTCATTTTTGTTTGAACGTTTGAAAGCCTCAAACTCGAATTCTTTTTAAAATATTGTAATTACTAATGCACGGAAACGCAAAAATATAATAATAATCGAACAAACTGCTTGAATTGCCTTAACGAAGGCCTATTAATGATTGCAAAATTTCGTAAAAATTTACCATCATACTATGGAAACCTTTTATTCCATAAATTAAGTGCACGAGCTTTTAGGTGGAGTACGTATACAGTATATCGACGCTTCTGGGCAAAGTTGTAGGAAGGGTGAATAGCGCTATCCGATGGATAAATCCTTATATCCAGTGGATAAATCAATGCTGTTATCCAATAAAGTTATCCACTGGATAAGATTTATCCGTCGGATAGCGCTATCCACCCTTCATACAACCGTACCCTGAAGTATAACTTATGTTCATGTATCTTAGGGGCTTATGTATCTGTCACTATCGTATAATACAGTGCCATTATCAAGTATTCGCAAGGCTGAAGACAGCTGGAACGTTTGTGTGCTGCCTGACATCACAAGAATCCATCAATACAACACATTATACATTGCATTTAGAACACTAGTCTTGATCAACTCCACTATTAAATAGCAACAGCCTTACACATAGTCATAGTTCGGGTTCAGACGTTTGATATTAAGAAAAATAAATCTTAATACTAGGAGAATCCATCCAAATACGAATATGAATATCGATCAGACCCTACTTCTGCTCGACAGTTCAAACTATTATATATATACTAAATAAGCAAAATAGATGGATATATTTAACAGTGCTGGTATTTTCAGTGCTTCCCGCTCTAAATTAACTAAATATAACGGATTGGAATTTTTTAACTTAGAAGAATTTCGAGGAAGGAAAAATTGAAAATTCATATCAGAATGAGGAAGAAAAATCCTAACAACAATTAGGTAAAAACCTTCTTAAGCCCGAGGGAAAAAGTCCACATCTCTAAAAATAGATTTTGAATGATTTTCGAAAAGCAAAATGGAAAACTCATATTAGAATGAAGATCAAAAATGGAAAACTTATATCAGAATAAAGATGAAATTTCTGAGTAGAACGAAGGAAAAAACGTTTCACAGAATAAAAATAAAAAGCCCAAAACTCTTTTTAAAAATGGTGCAAAAGAATCTACTGGTGAGGAGAAAAATATCAGTTAAAGAATGAACAAACCTTTCCGTTTATATGTGTGTCTTCGTAAAATTACTGACCAATATGAAAATCTATGGGTGTACTAATATTCCACACAGCACCTGACGATTTGACGTGCTTTGCTGTCATATTTATTTAAAATGGAAGTAATTTGTACATATTGTATGACAAATAATCAAGTAATTTGTACATCATTGGAACGCAATTAGTCGGTTGTAATTTAGTTTGTAACATTTGGTTACTAGAACACGGAATGGTATGTACCGATATAAATATTACAATTTAACATTTAGAAATAATTTTCCTACATTTTAACAACTTTCACACGATTTTATACAGCTTAAACCGTAAGCGCACGGCTAACTCACAGATTGAACCCTGAAACAACCTCTGGGCTGATCTAAGTTAGGGAACAGCTAATTCACAAATTGAATCCTGAAACAACCTCTGGGCTGATCTGAGTCAGGGCACGATAACTCACAGATCGAACCCTGAAACAACCTCTGGGCTGA